GGGAGGGGAAAGGGGGTTGGGGGGTAGGTGCATCCAAGCGGGAGTAAAACGGTTTGCCTTTTGAAAATTTTCGACATTTGCAAGTGCGACGCGAGTGTTACGCATTTCGCGCACTTGTCATGCACCGCCGCCTACATTTGGATGGTTTGAGTGTTAAAACCGGAGGGGTACACCTTTCACTGGCACTTTAAGCGGTTTAGTTGAGCTCAGTTAGTTGGGGGAACTAAATGTTAAAGGGTCTCTAAACTAAAAACAGCAGAACTCCAAGCATTTCATTGCAATGAAAACGATTTATAAATAAATAAAACATAAGCCTAGACTATTTGCATCTTAAATTGTTTGCTTTTAAGTAAATTTATTTCCGGTGAAAAAAGTGACCTAACCCAACTCATTTTTGTGTCCCAGGTGAACTGGCTTGAGTAAAAAACACAAAAACCCATTAGGATAATAAGAATCCTTCCGTCAACTAAGAACTAACCAACTAAGACCCAACCGAGATGAACAGTAATCATAGTTTGCAGTTGTGGGAATGACTTTTTGAATAACTTAAACTGTTCCAGTATGATTAATATTAATGGCAGTTACGCCTTCGGCTGCCATAAAAGGCAACTTGTACTCCCATTACGACTAATGAAGCACATAGCCCCCCAAGTTGCAAAGATGGAGAGATGGAAAGACAATGCCCCAAATTGCAATGCAACGGGGAGATGGGCGCATAAAAACTGCAACAACAGGACTTGCCATTTGCAGAAATCCCCTTTATGCGTTTTATTACCAGCAATTCCCATCCACAAGGACCACCAGCTGGCCGAGATATGACTTCCAATTTCGATGGCTTCGTTTATGGCCCAGATGGCCCACGTAGGCGGACGTTGATCAAGATGGAATTTATATCGATGTTGTGAAATTTTGCAACTTGTCACAGTTCCGAAGTCTGAGCAAATTACATTATACACTTGGGTAAAATTCTCGAAAATTGTTAAGAGACCGGAGAACAGAAAGCAGTTGGCTTAACCCACTGAAAGGCAAGGGAAAAGGGAGCAAAGTTACCACTGTTGGGTTTTGGTTTTTAATAAAAGTTTCCGCAAGGAATTTCATATTTTGTCGGTGCCCTTTCAAGCGGTTGTACAAGTTATTTTAGAAGTTGGCAACACACATATTCTTCAGAGGTGAGCAGTTTTAGTTGGCAGGCGTTAAACCTCTGAGATTTAAATAATTTAAGGCAGGTTGAAATAAAATAAAATAAAAATATATATAATACATATAAACATTAGCTTTATATTCTACTTCTTGTAAAGAGAAATAGTTGCTATATTGCCTTTAAGTTTTGTTTATTGTAGTTTTCAGTTTGAGTTGTCTGTTTATTGATAACTTTCCCGAAAACTGAGCAAATATTTTGATTTTCACTCCCCGAGGGAGATATGAAGCGGCGGCATCGCCAATATTTTCGCATATTGTTTAGTTTTGCCAAAAAGTTTGCAAGTTTGCCTTCAGGCCGCCACAAGTTGATTGATGGTGTTAAAATTTTCAATCTGACTTTGCAGTTGATTAATATAAATAGCTGTTTGAGGAGGCCAGCGAAATGCAGTCCGCCAACCAACGAGAGACTTGTCAATTAATAACCCGAGAGCCGATATCGGTGGCCAATATGCCAGCGTTTCCGGCCAAAAAGGGGAAGCCGGCAATTTGCCAAGGGCAAGTTGGGTCGAGTCTGCGATCCAAAGCTTTAAGTGACTGCAACGCAATCTAATAAAAAATTTTCCGCTGGCGAAACTTTTCCTCTGTTTCTGCTCTCTTTTTTCTGCGCTGCCATCTCTTTCGTTTTTTTTTTTTTTTTTTTTTTTTTTTTTTGGCTTGTGTGCCAGGATGTCGTTGTCATAAGGAAACTAAGGATTTCCGCTTTGGCTTTGGCCGTAAGCTGAGCATCAGCTATATAAAAATCTCGCTGGCTGTTGTGACACACACCCAAAAAGGGGGCACGAGAAATGAGTGGAGAGTGGAGAGAAATTATGTAAAAACTTTTTTCCTGCACGTTTAGCCGCGCCCCCGGGTTATTAGTTGGTCACAGCTGCTTGGCCAAAAAGAAAGGAGACTTTCCAGGGGGCACAGAAGACCGAGACACGTTTCAGTCGCACTGCCGAGCAACCATTTTTCATTAAGTTTTCGCGCCATATTGCCTTTCATAAGTTATATACAAGAAATAAATTTATTAGTGCCTTGGCAATTGTCTGTCTCGAAAGAAATGATATAAATTTCAAGTCGTAAATTATGCCGGGCCCTCTCGATTTTTTCTCTCTCTCTGCTCGATGAGCTGGGAAAGTGCCTTTGACGTGAGCCCGTCGCATTACTTAATCCAGTTTTCAGGGAACCTTTATCAACAGCAGCTTCGTCTCGTCAGCGGCACAACATTCTTTATTTGACAGCCCAAAGGGCCGTTGAGATAGTGGAAAATTTCTGATTTGCATACGTGGCGTATGCGTAACACGCCAGTACATCGAAATACACAAACGCAAACCAGATTCAGTCGGTCGTCTGGAGAGCTAATAAAACTTATTGTCAGCCACAGTCTGACCCACTTTCGGTGTTTTTCTATTTGTATTTGCCGAGTCCCATTGTTCGTCGGAATAATTTGAATTTTAGAATAATGAAGTCACAAAATGCCAGTGCGCGTTATCAGCATCATTTATATGCGACTGCGAAACAACTTCTCGGCCATGGAGGTCGGCGCCTCAGTACTCACTACTCAGTACTCGGCTCCCATGTGCCCATATACCCAAGTTTCCAACTGCCAGTTGCCATATTTTTGTGGCACTGGATTTTAAATCGTTTACAATGCCTCAAACTGAATGGCGAAGAGCGGGAGATAGTTGGCCAGGCCAACTGGGAGTGCCGGAATATACACATTTGGTGTGGCTGAAATAAATGAGTTATTGTTCGTGGTGTTGAAAAACTTTGCATGTGCTGCACATGTGTGAGCTGGTGTTGAAAACGGAACTCAGCTGGGGAAAGACCTTAAATACTTAACACTTTAATTAAGACTTTACGAGGGAGTATAAAAGAAAATTTTATTCATTGTCTATATAGCTGCTCGCACAAAAATGTTTCTTTGATTGCCGTACTTCTGAAAGAAAGAATAAAATCTAAAAGAATTCACCAAGATAGATCATAAAAATTCATTGCCTACTTATGAGCGCACCAAAGAATTCGCCTTCTGCCCAACTTTCCTGCCATTATGACCGTAATACTGTCAAAAACAAACACACAATAATTATAATGATGATCAAATAAAACGGGAAATTAGTCCAAACCGAGTTAAGTCAAGCGAAGAGCACGAACAAAGGAAGCACTCGCATTGCCGAACGCAAAAAGTGACAGCAAAATTGGCTCGAAGACAGCGGCTAATGAGTGTGTGCGATGGGAATAAAGGAGTGGAGTTGGCTAAAAGGCAAAGATATAGTCAAATACGAGAGCTCAGTTAGATCTCCAATGGCAATGGCTTGTGGCAGGACTAAGCGTCTTAGTGGCAGAGGAGAAGGGGTAAGAGGAAAAGCCGAAAGCAAAACAAAGAGCGAAGGCAGATGGCAAGAAGAAAAACTCAATTGCCGCACAAACTGAGCCGCCATTGTTTTCTTAATTGAGTGTCTTTGCGGAAGAGTGTATGTGTGTGCGTGTGTGTTTACCCAAAGTCTTTGGCCCGTACTATATATGTGTATGTGTAGGTGTGTGTGGCAGAGGACACTCTGCTTATCAATTACATTGAATTTACCCAGGCACAACTGGCTTTTAAGCAACCACCACTTCACCTCCCTCTCCTCATTTCACCCAATCAATGGCTTCCGGAAATGATGGCATAGGCAGTCACTACGACTTTCATTCTCACTTCCAGTTCCCCACTTCCTGCCATCCGATTTGTCGCTGATTTCACAACTCGCCGCACGGAAATTGCCAGTCCCCAGTACTACAACACAGCCCCCCTTCGATTCTTGACCCCCCTGACACTCGACTCCTCTGTACTGCACTTGATGAAGGAAAACATTTTATTATCAGCTTGAGTGTTTTTTTTCTGTAAACTTTCAACTCCATCCTCCGCCATAAGTCGCCTGATTTATTCCGGCCACGTAGCCACCACTGCACAACTTGATTGCCGCATTCGCATGTAAATCTTGGCATCTGAGAAGTATTTCGACCGAGCGATTCAATCCCACAAATCTTGTCCACGTCAACACGCAAAATCGAGCTTTTAATTTCAGCCAATAAAACTTTGGCGATTTAATACCTGCTACGTGGCGTCTTCAGCTAAAAAATAAAGCAATAAAGCGGATATCTGGATTTGACAGCAACATAAACTTATATTTCAAAAGAAAATAAAAAGAAAACATTGAGAAAAGTTTTAGATTTTTCGAATATACATAACAATATTTTTAAAATATCACGAATGGTCTCAAATATTTTTTAAACTTTTTTTACTTTTATTGAACGTGATACATCAATACTTTCCGCGGCCAAGAAAGTTTGCCTTTCAAAAAACCAGATTTTGTTTATTAAACATCGCGATACCCAAGACGAACCTCAACAAAGTTTGTTGTTCGAGTATCTCGAACTTTTCGCCAAGTTTACGCATAATTTTTTACGATATTTTTCCGCAGGTTTTTCCCCGGACAACTCACCGTTGTTATTGTTGTTTGAAAGGACTTTCCCGCTTCTAGGGATCTCTAATAGATTTCCGGGCAAGCAATTTCACTCACTTTCCTTTATGAATTGGGTTTTATTAAGACCGTTTGCCTAAGCTGCGGGCATTAAGAGTAAAGCAACTTCTTATCTTTTTCTTCTGCAGGATATTAAATGAATTCAATGGAATTGGTTAACATATTTTATGTTAATCTTGTGGCAAGGCAATACACATAGATATGAAAGTGGTTAAGCATTAAATACTAAAAGAAATAAAAGATTTCTTATGAATTTGTATTCCATGAAAATTCTGTCAACATTGCTTTCTTGTCATAGAAACAATAAAAATGAGTGAAAATATAACTGATGATGAAGATATTCCGGATGTTTTTACTGTTGAGAAGATTTTGGACCAGAGGCAATCCAATGGTCAAGTTCAATACTTTGTGAAATGGCAGAATTATCCCGACGAAGATAACACCTGGGAAATGGCAACATCTCTGGACTGTTTTACGCTGATCAACTCTTTCAAAAAACTTCGCCTTAAAAGGGGACTACTTCTCAACCAAGAATATGAAAGAAAGGCCAAGCGGCTGAAACTTGATCCATGCTTAGTACTTGATAATCCTTTTAACTATGATTTTAGAGCTCAAGCAATTCTCAAGGCCTTTAAAAGCAGTGGTGAAGTATCGTTTGTAATCAGGTTCTTTGAACTCGATCAACCTCAAATTGTTCCATCTGGGATTGCCTACGCAGAAATACCTCAGATGGTCCTCCACTTTTACGAAAAGCACTGCAACTTTGGATCGAATTTTAAGACCCGTGCAGACCTGAGAAACTATCTTTAACTTTAAACAAGTTGGTGACAAAAAAAGGTATTGTTTTCGTTTATTTCTTCGAGGGTAAATAAAAAAGCGCGGCGCTTTGCATAATATTACAAACAATAATGAAGGCAAAATGCCAACTTTTAAGTGATTTTGGGTCGTGTTTTCCCGGGCGAGCAGCGCAAACATGCCTAATTGCAACAACAGTGACGGCAAACAAGGGCCAGGAATGTACGACAGCCAAAATGAAGCGAAAATATTTGCATTCCGTTTTTCCGGCCATTCCCTTGTCTCAGTTTTTTGATGGGCGTGGCTGGCCGGGCGGACGGACTTTGTCCTATATATCCGTGTTTGCTTTTCGGCACTTGGCTTTTCCGGCGCTCCGGCGTCCTCCAAAGGGCACGTAGCCACAACGGCAGCAAAGAGGTTTTGTTTATGCCTTCTGCACCTTCACCAACAACTGATACTGCAATATCCGGCCGGGGAAGCCAGACTCGAATCAATAAAGCCTTGTTTTTGCTGCTCGATTTTGGTAAGTTGCTGGCCTGCCTTGAAGAAAATAAATTCGAATTGATAACCGCAAGTAAACTTGCGCTTTGTTTGGGTTTATTTGACCGACACAAGAAATACTCATAATTGCTGGCTGTTGAACGAGCATGCTGAAAAGAAATTCAAATCGATCAAAGATTCATTTCGAGAGTGTTCAGTTTTTGTGCGAGGGTAATGTAACGCAAAAATAATTGAAAAACAGAGCCGGAACAAAAAATAATTAAGCGCCTAGGCTCTATCTCTAATATTCCATCCCATTCAAGTCGCTTTGTTTTGCATGAGGTCAAGGGTTAAATGTACACTCATGCATACATGCACTCCGTATTTGTTTACGTGCCTCAGCCGACCCTCAAAACAATGGACTGCCATTGTTTTTAGACCCCATCCAACAATCTTCCCCCTTTTTCCCCGCGGGGTCATCGCAAGATGTAGATTGTGTGTGCGAAAAATGGGGGGACCCGTGCTACCCTGGAACTCATTATCGAAATTATGAATTATGCATTCGGCGTTGCCCTTGCGAGCCCAGCTAATTTGAATATAAATTTAACTCATAAATATATATAAGACGATTCCGGGCAGACGGCGCCAGGAAAAGTAACTTTTTCGGGGCTGCCAGTCCAGAGCAACTACCATGAAACAAATAGTCAACAAGAAGAGAAGACCAACTACTTAGCCCAACAAGACGACGACATCAGGTCAAGCAGTCAAGACACAAAACCGCAAAAACAGCAACTGGAGGGAGCACTCCAACTTTTATGGCCGAAAAAGGGGCCCGGGTTTATGCCTTTGGTTAATATTTAAACAAAAGTTTTCGCCCGCTTTTCGTGTTGCAACATATTTTTCCTTTCTTTGCCTCTTTTTTTGGGGGGAGGAGGGGCCATCGCCATCGCCATCATCATCATCACCATCGGCATCACCATCTTGGCGTTTGGGGCTCTTTACTTTGGCGGCTTGGCATAAATTATGCCGCTAATTAAGTGTCTGTGAAGCTGTTAATAACAAAATGAAGGGCAATTATCAGGAAGGCGGCAAAAAAGAAAGATAAAAGCTTAGCACAAGTACTCGAGACTGCTGGTAAGTATTTCTTTGGCTTTTGTGTTTTTCTTAAACATTTGTCGCTACATTTCACAATTTATTGGTTGGCGACATTTGGGCAAGATGAAAAGGACTCCTTGAATCGATTTTTTTCGATTATTCAACAGCTCTCTGTGTACAATTGGAATGTTTAATTACCGCAAATTAAAAATACAACAAATTATTTATAAACGGAAAAATAGCAATTAAGGTGGAATGCAGGAAAGAACGTTTATAAAACGATTTTAAATATTTATTAACTCGTTTTATTTATTCAATGTAAAAAAACTGGCTCCTAAACCATTTATTGAAAACCTATTTAATAATTCAATAATAAATCATTAGCCAGCAAAATGCATTTGTACACATAAATTATGTTCAGATATTAAACGAAAAGGAAATAAAATAAATAAATATTGAAATGCGCAACAAAGACGCACTTTTGGGGACAATGAAAAAGCCGCACTTTCGCCATAAATTCGATATCATTTTGCTGTTGCGCCAATTGCAATTAAACGCAATTTGTCCACAGCGTGAAAAATGACACAGTTTTTGCGGCACAAGGATGAGAGGGAAAAAAATCCAAAGGAAATCAAATTTAATGGCGTGGCTACAGGGAAAACGCCATGGAAAAATAAAATTATATTCAACTTTTTGTCCCCGCCCGTCGATTATAAAAGTTGCGAAAAGTGTGAAAAATAGTGTTCTTTCCCTTTTTTTTTTTTTTTTGGTGATTCCCTTGAATGGCGAACCACATGGAAAACCGAGTTCAAACAAAGTGCGGCAAAAAAAGAGCTCGCAAACCAAATTATGCCCAAAGGAGGCGTTGTGGGCGGGGCCCGTTGAAATGAGCGGGACGTGTTAGCACCGAGGGCCGCAGAAAATAGCAATTTATGGGCCAGCCCGAAAAAGCGAGCGAGCGAGCGAGTGAATCATGGCAAGGAGATGTGGCGGCTGCAATCGACAGTCGGCTCTGCATGGCAAGTAGGTGTTAAATATTTAATGATTACCAAAGCGCAAACAAGCTGGATTCGTAGGATTGGGGCACCTGTTCCCGCCCCCCGCCACCCGCCTCCATCGCCGATGCAATTCGTTAAGTGCTCCGCACACACCCACACACCAACACACACACACAACCACGCTGGGGAGAATCGAGTGCATACAATATGCCGCAATTTATGTGCACAATTGGGCTGCCACGCCCACAATCAGGGGCACGTTCTACTCGCCGCGATCGACGACGTCCCTCGAAACCGCTCGACGACCGCAAAACTAATTGAAATTGCCAGAGCAGTCAGATGGCATTAGTTTACCTTGTTCCCCGGATGGATGGATGTATATAGCGAAGGTTTGATGGGTTAGGGGGGTTGGCTTCCAAGGGAAAAGACAGTTGCGTGATTGCAGATAGTGCCGCCCAAAAACAAGTCAACGCGGCAGTCGCCTAACTCTCATTTCGGGCCATGCAAATTGGCACACGGCGCGTATACGTAACGCATAAGCACAAGCTATTAGGCAGGTTCTTAAGCATCAAAGCAAGCTTTTACCCAGCGAACTAATTGATGGAGACATCAGGCTCTTAAATGCTTAATGAGTTTCATACCTATCCCATTGATTTTATATTCCTATTGAGTAAGCATTTGCAAATTAAACATTTAAGCTTGCAAATCTAAAGTCATTTTACCGATCAAGAAACGTATCCTTACTTCTGAATCAATTGTCATTTAAATTCAATAATTAAACTTCTGGGAAATAAACCCCAAATCGATTTGCTAGCAAAGTTTATTCTTCCTAGAAACCATTCCAAGCCAGAGCAAATGATTCACTTTGTTTTTATAAGCTATTTATCTTATTTTCGGAACGAGCACTGGAAACAAAAATGTGACGCCAGCCGAACTGCCAGCGACTTTACTTGGGAAAGTATATATGGCCAGAACGGAGATAAGGCAAACAGACACACGCAATCAATACAAGTACGGGTACGGGCGAAAAACAATAAAATGGAAACATCAACTCGAGAAGTCATCAATGGTGGAAAGGAAACGGAAGGAGGAGGACTATCGCCGTTTGCCTCTTGGTTTGCTTTTTTGCTTCCCCGGACAATGACAACAATGAGTAGCAATGGACCAAAATGAATGAGTCTATAAATAAATGAATGCAACGTTTCAATTTCGGTTCAATTGGTCCGGGAAGAGACAAAAATAAATACGGAATAAGAGTACCACCAATATTGGTCTACATCAGAGAAGCTTCTATCAGCAGCATTAAAAAAAAGGTCAAAAAACCTACCCTCTCTAAATTGAAAAGTTTTAACTCAAACCGTTAAAGAATGCCATTACGAACGTTTAGAGGTATGCCATTTTAAAATCGGATCAAAATTGGTCAAGTTATGGAATCAGTAAGAGCGAGTTTGGGTCACCTTTCGGCAGGTCTCCGGAAATCGAGGAAAAACTGACTTAACAGAGGTTAGAAATTCGACCATTTCCAAATCAAAAAATGTAAATGCAGTTCGTTCAAGAATTCCATTACAAACGTTTAAAGGTATGTCACTTTGGAATCGGATTAAAATTGACGGAGCTATGGCATCCGAAGCTTCAGATATGGATCTCCTATTACAGTTCATGGGAAACTTGGAAAAATGTGACATGAACATTCGCCCTTCTCCAAACCAAAAAATTTTAACGCAGTTCATTCAAGAATTCCAATACAAGCGTTTAAAGGTATGACACTTTGAAATCTGTTTAAGTTAAGTTAAGTTATGGCTTTTGAAAAGTTAGTATTGGGTCACCATTTTGCAAGCCATGATAAATATGGAAGAATCTGACATCTGTGTAAGTCAAACAATTGACGATCTCCAAGGTAACAAAAGTTAAACGCATTTCGTTTAAGAATTTTATCACCAATGTTTGGAGGTATGCCACTTTGAAATTTGAGAAAAATTGCGAACGTGATGGGAATTGGAAGTTCCGTTTTGGTTTCAAAATTGACACCTTAATTTTCGTAGGTTGTTAAATAGAACTCACCACGCAGAACTTCTCGCTCTTCTTGGTGCACTCCTTCAGGTAGAGATGGGCGATATCCTTGGTGTAGTTGGTGCAGGGCGTGATGGAGCCGACGCCCTCGTTGTACTGTCCGCACATGTGGCACTTGAGCCCGTCGGCGAGTCCCAGGCAGCCGCTGCACAGGACAATGGCCACCAGGATGGCCAGGGCTCTCACGTGGGAGCTGGCGGCCATCGATCGCAGTCCGCACGCTGATGAGGATGCCGGATGCATTGACGAGGAGGAGGCCTTGTCCTCGTCGACGGCGCTGACAGCTGCTTTTGTTGACATTGCTTCTTGGACGCTGCCGCTCGACATTTTCATTTGAGTCCTGACCTTTACCACAGAGTTCGGCACTCGCAGACTAGCACACTAGCACACACTGACGTACTGACGCACTGACAAACTGACAAATGGACAGGCTGACAGACTGACAGACTGACGAACTAAGACACGGATGCAGATGCAGTCGCAGTGACAAACAGGACGCGTGCATTCACTAAATTGCAATTTCGCTTTGTTCCTCGGAGGCGAATCTTTCCGCTTTTCGGAAGCCTTTGTTTATACTGTGGCTATTTGGATAATTTATGAATTCTGTTTTAGTGGCTTCTGTTTATTCACTGCTCATAATTCGTCGAGATGTTCCAGCCAAAGATCAACGTCGATGTTTGCGTGGGCTTAAATGTTATGAATAAGTTATCACTGTTTTCTAGGTTTATATGCTTAATTTCTCTATTGTCTTTTCAGATCTCAATAGAACAGTAATTATTTTACTTAATCTGTAGCTCTATAAGGTAGATAATGAAAGTTTTTTTGTATTCAAAAGTTCTGAGTGAGAAAAGTGTCAGAATTTGCACTTCCACGAAAACCCATCTTATCTATTTGCAGTTTACGATCCTGAATAAATCACAAAAGCCTTCGAACTTTTGTTGCATGCACCTTTTGTTTGGAATGCTACAAATTGCCAGCAGCTGCCACGCCCAGTTTTTTGGGCCATAAGCATGTAGGCCACGACCGCACAGGGCCACACGTTTTTCTCGAAACTCAAAAAATTGTTTTCAAATTGCTTTTGTTGTTAGTTAAATGCGCGAATGCGAGTGTTCGTGTGTGTGTGTATGTCAGTGTGTGTGTGTGTGCGTGAGGGAATAAGAAGGGGGCGAAAAAGGTAAAGGGGTGTTTGAAAGTACTTTTCTATGCGTTCAGCGTTGAGTATTTCCACGAATTTTTCGGAAAATACTTTGAGGAGCGGCAGGAGCCAGCCAAAATCGTATTACGAGCTCTCATTGTGTTCTTTTGTTGCCTACTTTTGCGCTTTGATTTGATTTGCTGAAATATACATGAAGCCCCGGAGGGAGAAATGGGAAAAAAAGTCGGACGGATCAATTTGAGGCTTCTAGTTTTTACTCTTTTATTCCGCTCGAAATCCAGAAAGCCTCAGCATCACGCATTCGCCATGTGGCCCTCGCAGCAGCCAATTAACGAGTCATTTCTGTTTTTTCTATTTTATGTGCTTCTGTTTTTTAATTAAACGAATGAATGCAACGAGTTCTTGGTCCGCCATAATGGGCGACCTTCCGCGTTCTGGGCTGTGGCAAATGCAATATTTTTTCACGTTTTTTGCCGCCTCAATGGCAGGCGAAATAACACAAAAAACAGTAACATCGCCGACGTGATCTTTGGTTCGGAACATCCACAAAAATATTATTTGTTCTCCCAAGGAGAAAGCTTTCACAAGCGTTTTTCATAAATTCGGCATTTGATTTGTTTCTTGTTTCTTTTTGCTTCCCATTCACATTCTAAATTCCAACACAAAACCAACGGCCACTAACTTTTGAATTATTTCAAACTGAGTCCGCCCAACCGTGCGTTCCGTCTGAGTTGAAAATGTTGACTGCAGTGCCAGAAGTTGAAGCCGCGGCCGCAGAACCATCAGCAAGAGGAAGAGCGACAGCAGCAGCAGCCGACGGGGCGGATGAGCGATTCGGGTCGGGCGCCTTCGTATTGGTCCAGTGACCCAGTGCTGCCCAAACTGTATTGTTATTTCTTCATTTCGGTGCTAATGAAGGCCTGCAGCACACATTTTTAAAGTCGGGGGAGTTGCAGCCATCTGCAGACATTGGAAAACCATAATTAGGGTGATGAAGAATGTCATGTTCATTAGATTTTCAAAAAGAATTTCAATTTCGGGCACAAGGATTAAAACAATAGTATAAGAAATTTGTATACTATTCTTTATTTAATTTCGTTTTTTATCATATTTAATAAAGTCTAAATAAAAGTCTAAATATACATTTGTATACCAAATTAGTTTTTAAGGTTTAAGCACAGACCAGTACCTACTACTTAAGACCCAAGACTAATGCGAATTCTTTTATTTATTAGACTCCTTAAAATAGAAAATCAACGTAAAACCATTTTTACAGTTTTCGAATATTGCAAACAATTACAGTTTGATGTATACCAAAAACCAACCCCAGGGTACACTGCTTTTAACTGCTTTAAAATCGCCCCAGACAGACCTCTTTGCACTGCTTTCTTCGGCGCCAAATGAACTTTAATTCGACAGCAGCAATATGCAAAATTTACAACATGGAATATAATTTCCCAAAATTTATTGGCCTCTAAAATCTTTATAGTAATGACTCAGATAATTAGCTTATCGGCCCCCAAGAAACAAATCAATTTACTGGCAATCTGATTATTTATTAAGTGGTTTAATTTTTCAGTTATTAAGCAATGTTCTTTGTGACTAAGCCAATATGATTTGGTTCTGTTTGATCCAGTCAATGTACTGGCTGACCTTACAGTAGACACCCGGATAGGGAGCCACAGTGCAGGGCTTAACACTCCAGGACACAATGCCCACCTGCTGTCCGTTGTAGATGAGGGGTCCACCGGAATCTCCGCTGCACTGACCCTTTCCACCCTCGTCGACTCCACCGCAAATATGATATCTGGGATCAGTTTGGCCCATGTGGCGTATGGTGCACTCCTCGTCGGAGTAGATTTTCAGGGACACCTCCTGCAGGGTGTTCTGTACACTGCCGTAGGTCTGCGCAAGGATTATAACTTAAATTAATTATTCTAGAATGTAATTCCCTTTAAAACCTACATCATTTAGACCCCAGCCGATTAGCACTCCCTGAACTCCAACATCAGATTGGGGAACGGCAAAGGCCAAGGCTGGAAGTTCCACGGGAGCCACCGAAATTCCATCGAAGACAAAGGCTTGCTCCACCATCAACAGCGAAATATCGTTGGCATTTTGACGACTGGGGTCGAAATCCTCGTGCTGGATGATTTTCTTTATGCCCACCACATTCGGACCGGCGATATTAATATCGGTCACTCCAAATTGAATAGATAGCGTCGCTGCAGAACGGCCATTGGTGCAATGAGCGGCGGTCATCACAAAGTTCTGGGAAATAATGGAGCCACCACAGGAGTGGGCGCCATCCCAACTCCGCAGAGAAACCTATGGTTCGATTAATTCAAATTATAAATTCATTTTTTACCCTTTATAATTCTATATAATTGGGGACTTGGAATCTTACCACAAAGGGATACTTCTGCACACTGGAATCCGATCCGTTAACAACCCTCCCCGTTGGAGGAGCAGCTTGGCCAACCGAAGAAATGGCCAGGAGAACGATTAAAGACAGACTGAGATCTTGAGTCGACAACATTTTTGGTCTGAAAATGGCCCCCCAGGGATCGGCTACCGCTTTTATAAGCTCAACGAATACGCAGATTATCATTATTTACGATGACCGATAGGAGGTAATTAAGTTTGTCGTCATTGATATAAAACAGCTCTTGCCAGGCTATCAATAAAATATTTAAAATAAGACCAGCGATTGCACAAAAATTATTTTTGCAACGATTAGGGATTGGTTATGGCCAAAAATATATTAGGAACATAATAAAAATAAATTAAGATAGTAAACATAAATCAAAAATACATTTTAACTAAAATTACTACACAAAGATAACCTTGATCTTTGGCAAAGCGGTTTTTAATTAACAAACTGAAATCATAGCATTTGAAATTGAAGTATAATCCATTTAAGATACGAGTTAATCGATTTGAATGCCTGGACTTCCTGTAAAAGTGTGAAATTCCCTTTTCACTATCTTTCACCAAGATTGCGCCCAATCGCAAAATCCGGCAAATCCCTGCCCGCACTTAAAACTGATTTATGATTGAAAAAAGCACAACTTTAATCTTTATATATCAGTGTGATTTATTGACAAAGATAGCAAAGTGTCTAAGCCAATATGATTTGGTTCTTCTTGATCCAGTCAACATACTGGCTGACCTTGCAGTAGACACCGGGATAGGGAGCCACCGTGCAGGGCTTGATGCTCCAGGACACGATGCCCACCTGCTGGCCACTGTAGATGAGCGGACCACCGGAGTCTCCGCTGCACTGGCCCTTGCCGCCCTCGTCGACGCCTCCGCAGATGTGGTACCTGGGATCCGTGCGTCCGCCGTGTCGTTCAACACACTCCTCATCGGAGTAGACCTTCAGTCCCACCTCCTGCAAAGTGGTCTGGATGTAGCCGCCAGTCTGAAAAGGGTTTTCAAATTAAGATTAGTCTTTAAAAGTTATGAAGAACATTATGAACCCACCTCATTGAGTCCCCAGCCGACGAGCACTCCCTCGCCTCCTGCATCCGTTTGGGGCGTGGCAAAGGAAAGTTCGGGCAACTTAACAGGAGCAACAGTAACGCCATCGAACTCGAAAGGCTCCTCCACCATCAGCAGAGAGATGTCGTTGGCATAGTTATTGTAGGGATTGTAGTCCTCGTGCTGGATGATTTTCTTTACGCGCACAACATTCGGACCGGTGGCATTGATCTTGGTCACTCCATATTGCACGGAGAGGTCCGTAGCTTTGCGACCATCGGTACAATGGGCAGCAGTCATCACAAACTGCTTGGAAATAATGGATCCACCGCAGGAATGGGAACCAGTGGAGCCACGCATGGAAATCTGAGGGATAATGGGGTTGCGATTAGATTATAATTTATTTCGTTATGAAGGGAAATTGTACGGAAATTTTAATCCTTGCCTCATGTAGATTTCCTTATCGTCTACAAATTTCGACCCACTTACCACAAAGGGATACTTCTCCACGCTGGAGTCCGTGCCATTGACCACTCGGCCCATTTGAGGAGCGGCCTGGGCAACGCCCGCGATGGCCAGGAGGGCGATCGCCGCCAGGCAAAGATCTTGATTCCGCGACATTTTTGGCTAAACATGCGCGCTCATTGACCAACGGCCGCTTTTTATAAGCTTCCTGACATTGCCAATACAACGTGATTACGATTATTTACGGCAATTGATAGCCCGAGATTAAGACTGTTCGATCACAAGAGAGCGCCACTATCGCGTTATCTCCACCAACATCAAACGACAATGGTTCGGTTATCTTTAAACAATTTTAATCAAATTAAGCACAATGAACAAAATGAAACACAGAAGTGGCGGTCTTGACCAGCCCGGGAATGTGACGGTTCTCAATGTGGTGCGCTTAAAAAAGATAATCAAAGGGTTTAAAACTTAACAACGGTTTACATACGCAAACAAGTAGGTCAGTATACAAATGGAAAGGCCATCGGTGTTAGGACTTACATAACAAACACGAAGAGGAATAAATATAGAATAGCTTCTTGGGGAGCGGTACAAATAGCTGTTATGGTTCTGCTGTACATAGAAAGCAAATCTAGTGTAGACATATGTATATCTGTATATTGTATATAAGATCATAGAAGGCTACTTGACTAAAGCGATGCTTCGTGGACATCGGCCTACAAAAATACTCTAACAAATGCGCACCAGGCGCCGAAAATTGCTCATCGAGTTCCAATCTACATTTATGTTGACTACTGTATGCTGCAGCTGCGTACCGTAGACAGTTTCTGCTCCTCCTCGTCCAAATGCTTGGCGCTCAAAATGCTCTTGATGCTCTCCGCCTCCTTCATCCAGAATTCCAACTACAGAAATTACTTTTAGTAGTTTGTTTTGTGAGTAGGATGCTGCATGTTTTGCTCACCTGTTGCAGGAGCAGATTACGCCGCTCGCCCTTTGGTTCATTGTTCACAAACGGCACTAGAATGCCCAACGCTGAGGTATACGACTCCAATGCCGCGTCCAGCTTGCGCTCATAAAGATAAAGCTCGCCTTTCCGTCCGATTTCCAGGCCAGTCTTCAGGGACGGACTTGAGTGCGACATGGAAACTAAAATTGGAGATTATTATTTAATTCAGAATTTAACTTGTGCAAATCATACATAGCTGCTTGTAGCGCGCATCTGGTTCCAGCATTTCTGCCATCCGTGAACTGCTGGGCTGCGATTCGTTGACCTGGACAACTGGCGAAGGCTCTATGGTTTGGTTAGACGGAGCAGATGACGCCGCCTGCTTTTGTCGCTCGGCCAACATTCTGTACTCGTCTTCGATTATGCAGTTTTTGATCTCCTCGGCGCGCTTTGTGTACGACAAGGCACGATTGCGCAAAGCCAGCCGCTTTGTGGCGTCCGCCTCTTCCGTAATTAGGGGAACAAAATACTGCAGTGCACTGCAGTAGAGATAGTAAGCCTCTTTGTAGTTACGCTTCTCATCGTAAGCACACGCCTGAGTGACTAGATCGATAGCTTTTTGCAGTGTGTGCTCCGTGGGAAACGTCTTGAGATCGAGGAAAGGGTGCGCAAAGAAGTCCGCGAACGAAATACGCGCCGTGGGCTCATGGGCCAAAAGCCGGCGCAAGAGATCGTGGCACTCATTGCTGATGCGAGCGTTCGGTGGCAGTGTAATGGGCTCGGCCTTCTTGATCCTCAGCAACAGCTCCTCAATGGATCGCGAGCTATAAGGCGCCTTGCCAAAAAGACATTCGTACAGGATCACCCCGATGCTCCAGAGATCCGCCTTGGCGTCGTACTGATGCTTTCGCACAATTTCAGGGGCCATATAGAGCGGCGAACCTTTCAACTGCTGATTGATTTCCCCCAGCTTTAAGTGCTGTGCAAATCTACAATATGAAATACAAAGATGTGATTATAATGCAATACAGAAAGTTATTTCTTCGTTAGCTACCCAAAATCCGCCACCTTCAGGGACACATTATTGGCTCCCCGGGTGAGCAGCAAGTTCTGCGGCTTAAGGTCGAAGTGGGACACATCGTTGGCTCGCATGTATTGCACAGCTGCCGCCAATTGGCGCAGAAAATAACGACAAGTACTCTCCGGCAAAGCCTTTTTGGTCCGTATAAAAGCAGATAGATTGCCGGCATTGCAGTACTCCAAAACGATGTAAATATTTCTAAAAAAGAAATTGTATAAGTTGGTTTTTTTCATGTAAACGTAAGCATAGTCTGCCCTAAAATGAAATCTTATCTAATTGGAACACTGCATATCTACATAAAAGAGTGACTCATTGGCAAAGGAAACATTTTATAGTTTATATTCAACTCCTATACATCCTATATCCTGCTGCAAGGATGATTCATCGACAATAATATATGGAACGTTGGTTTACTTGTCGTCCCAAAAGAAGTCCTGCAGGGTCACAATGTATTTGTGTTTCAGGTCCCGCAGGAGGCGGATCTCGGTGATTAGGTTTTCCCTCGAGGTTTGCGAGAGCGACGACATTTCTACGTACTTGATAGCATGATAAGTGCGCTGTTTCTGCGAACGATAAAACGTAAATATTAGACCCTTGGTGACAATGAGAGGTGTGTATGTAACTGGTGCCCCACTTTGTGCCGCGCTTTGTATACGGTCGCATAGCTGCCCGCTCCCAGTTTCTCGAGAATGTCGAAGTCCGTGATCCGCGGCAGTGACATGTTGTGGCGGTCATTTAGTTCTGATAATTTATATTTTATATGTTTATGTTTTCCATTGGTCGATTGTTTTTGCGCTGCTCTGCTCAGACACACACACAAAAACCGCAAGCCAGGGATGCAAAATCAAACAGAGCACAGACTTGTGTTTTCTGGCGCTTATCGATAGCAACTAAGGATTCAAATTGGCGCCAAATAGCTCTGTAAAATTGTAACGAAATATTTTTCAGTATTTTCATTTAAAATCATTTGATAATAAAAAACCTATTTAAATGAAAGATCAGAAGCAGTTTCTTTGACTATTTAATCATCTTTGTATAAACTATTTTTATTTTATGAATTACAATAGACTACAATATTTTATAATAAACATTTTTAATATTTTAATGAATTTGAAGAGCCTTAAGATATATGTATAAGCGTAAGGCTTTCACAGATCGGAGTCCTATGTACAATTTTCAAATTAATGCGCTCTCAAAACAGCTGATTGGCAGTGCTGCCCATAGACTTCTGCCATCGATAACACTTGTTGCTCTATCGGTATTTACTGCCACTTCGCTTGCATCCCTGTAAATTTCTAAGCCCTAATTCGTGTGTTTTGTTTTTGATGGTTGCGAAGTGATTAATTTTTCGTTTTTTTAGAGGTAAATAAATGCAAAGCCCCGTTATTGATCGTTCCGCACCAGCCTTAAACATATTTAAATAGCATACAAAAAGAATATTCTATATAGTTACTAGTTAAACGTTTTTTTACTTTGCTGATAAAGTGTTCGAAAATTTAAAGCCTCGCTTGACACACCCAAAATACACAAATTAAGCAAACACGCCCTGGTCTATAACCGAAATATTGAAGAGTGCTCTTACTAACAATTCTATTTCAAATGTTTTAGTAGTGGCTTTAAGGATTTTTCAAGGAATCCCCCTTTCACACAAGTGACGTCAGTTGCAAGGCTTCAAGATGAATTACGGCAGGAAAACGCCCACCACATACCGCTCGAATCCGTCGGTTTATTCCCATGCTACGGGAAGGTATGTAGACTATATAGTCCTGATAAAAACTGACCCCATCTTATTGGTTCTATATCCTTTCAGATCCTCGACAAATTTGCACTCAAAAATGTCCCGATCCACGAGGTCCGTAAGGATTCCCTGGTACCAGCGACCCCTGCTCAAAAACAACCAGTATATCGACATCCAGAAGGGTGCTATGCTCATCGGATTATTTGCCATAGTATGATACGGTAGTCCTTAGTGGGAATGTCCTTATAAACCTGTAAACCCTGTCTTTTAGTTCCTCTCCTTGTTCACGATTGGTACAAGCATATTCGACATCTATTGCTATGCGATGGCCGCGCCAGGATCCACACATTATGGCTACTATATCATATCCTACGAGTTCGTTTATGTGGGCAACAAGCATGGTAAAGTTTAATTAGTTTAAGTTTTCAGTTTTTGAATATGCTATATGCTATAATATTTTAATTGCTTTCTTGCAGTTCGCAACATGCTGATTGTCTTTGCTTTATTCTCGCTTATCATGGCACTGATAAACCTTGTGACCAGCATTCTTCTCTGCGTTGCTCTGCGCAAGGTAAGTTTGGGTCTGGGATTCTACAGCCTATGCATGCAATTCATTTACATTTCTCATTGCCCGAAAGCATGAAAAACTGGGAGCACAGAAACGCTTACTGAGCAAAAGGGTAACAAAAGCATCCTGCACAGTCATGAAAATAAATTAGCACAGAAACCCATCAATTGGCTTAAGACTCTTTGTGAAAACCAGTTCTAATCCCCTTTTTATTTAATCCTTAAATAGGAATATGAACGAAAAGTTTTGCCCTGGCTATGGACCTTTGCTGTTTTCACTGTTTGGCGGGCTTTGGCGCTGATTTTCTTCGCCATTGTCAACGATCTTTACTTTGCCTACAATGTGATTATGGTACTGCTATGGTCCGTTTTCTGCCTGGTATCCATTTATGGCTGGGCCGTGGTGTACTCTCTGTTCCTGGAGCTGGTGGACTTGACCAAACTGGAGGATCTGGCCCATTTACGCGTAGGTTTTTCCAGCAATTACTACGAAAGTGTGATATAAATTAATCCTATAACTTTTTAGATGGGTACAATGGCCTCGCTGCACGCTTCCACCGCCAATTCACTGGCTGGATCCCGACCAACCACTCCTCATAGTACCGTGTCCACCATGCCTGTGGGCTAAATGAAGTATTTTCCATCCATCTATGTGGCTCACAACGAAACTGCACAATCTAGACCGTCCGAAAGCAGCACAAGGCAACCCCGATGCTTCGCACTCAAACATTTCTTAAACTATATTGTACATTCCATCCACCAGTTCAGTGCCTTAGAGATGCGCCTCTCAAATACCACAAATTTTACACACGAATCTGCGTAATTAGTTTTAAGTCGTATTCCGTCCAATCGCATATGATTTTTGTATACTGTTAAAGAATCTCTGTCTTTATGTATGTCAACATATCGTGTTTTTATATGCATATATAGATGTACAACCCGAATTGTAGCTATGTATCTAAAATTTTAAGAGACAAGCAATATACAAAATACAAAACCTAAAATATGAGTCTAACGACACCATGGGACCATTTCCCGGGCGTTACCCAAAACGCCCACCAATCTTTTCGACAGCAGTTCATCTTGATCTGCGTCAAGCGGAAAAATGTTTTACGTGCCCAGTCTCTCAAATTTCAGTTAACACTTCCTCTTAAACATCAATCTTATTCCTGATAAATTATACTACAGAAGTTTTAAGATGACAATTCCAGAAATAAGGGGATTTTCATTTTACCAAAAATTAGCAACGGAATTTCAAATACCATGTGAAATTTCCAGGCATCGAATGTATTCCCCATCAATCTTTGGAACACAATCGCCGGACCTGTGCTTGCAGCGTTCAATGTCAGTGCTCTGGTCATTAACACCCAAAATTATTAGCCCCACACCGCAAAGTGGGGCATTTCAAGTACACACAAGCACAAACTCTCGACGTGGGATGTGTTGGAGGCCAAACAAAGTTCAATCAACTGTTTTTGTTAATCGTTCCTTGGATGGCGACAACTCCGGCGATTTCGTAGAGCTATTTGGTGGTGGTAAGCCCAGAGCTTCTATCCCACCCTTTTGTATGTTCTCTGATTTTGAATGAGTGTTCTGGTTTCCTCGATACGAGAATCCAAGTGGGGTAACTTTAACAATCAGCTACAAAGCAAACTACGTCATCATGTGACGCCGTTCTTGGGTTGCTAGTTTTAGTTCTTTTTAGTATTATAAACTACATATATCGGTCTGGTTTTGTTTTTAAATTTCAAATTATATATATTTTTTTTAATGGCAAAAAGTTTTAGAAATATTTCTTAGAAGAGTTCACTGTACTTTATTCAGCAGTATTAGCCTATTTCCCATCTTTAAATTCCGTTGTTGCTTTTGTTGGTAAAACGCAATTTGTTGCATGCGCCGCTGCCTTATCCAGCCAATAGCAAAATAAAAAAAGTAGCTACGCAGCAACAACAACCCCTACAAGCCAGGCCAACAATAACAAAAAGCTTTGAAAAAAGGGGGTGGAGACTAAGAGGAGGGGAGCAGTTAGCAACTTTTCATTGTTTACTGCACTTTTCGATTTACACTGCTACGCATTAAAGTTCAGCAAATTGCGTTGTCTCTTAGTCCTGGACTCATTCATTTCCTATTTGTTACTTTTTTTCGTTTATGCAAAGAGATTAAAAAGTTAAGTTTTTCAATAATATATTGTTCAATGAAATTTTCACGCATTTGTAGTGTCAAGTTGCTACTTATTTTATGACCACAAGTTTATTGTTACCATTAGTATTTATAAGTTTTCATGAAACAATCGCCGTATAAACCCAGAATGCCTCTGCCTCCCTTACCCGATTCGCCATCACTCACACAGCTGTTGATCTCGAGGAACTGTAAATGCACCTGTCTCGCTCCCCAGCAGGTTGAATGCACCAAAGCGAAATGGGAAAGGCAAAGGGGAGAAAGAGATGGAGGATTGGGGGAGACTGTGCCAAAAATACACCAAGCTTGACTGCTCCCTCTTTCTATCTGTTTAGAAATGTATGAGAGTGTGCGTGCTCGACTCGTTGTCCTTTTTGCCTCTTCTTCTTTTCGCCTGTTCAATGCACTTCTTCTTCTGCCACAACCTTGTGCGTGTGGGCCACATGTTTACATAAGTGCAACTGTGTGCACGGACCACATTCACCCTCTATTTGTAGCTCCAATTGCCAGCGCATAATTATGTACACCGAGGAAAAATGTTGCCAGTTTTAGTTTTTTAAATTACAAAAAAAGAGTGTTTTAAAGCCACAGCTTCGAGATTAAAATAAAAAATACCTAAAAAAATTTTTAAAGTTTAAATCAGAAACAATTATTCATTATTTATTTAATAATTTTGATAGCATAGACTTCGTTGCCAAATTTCGCTAGTTTGTGTTTACACAAATCAGGGCACTAAATACGATAAGCACACAAAGTTCCGAACAGATTGGAGGTCTAAACGAATTTTTGTATTGCTCGGCGAGGGCAGACAGTGAACATTTGTAAGGCGCGCACCTTGTTATCAATCACCTCTTTTACGCATTGTTTGGATCCCCTTTGTATCTCCGTCTCGATTTCTCCCACAACTGCGTCGTTTTAATTCCAAGTGGTATGGGTCATATGGTATGGGGCTTGTGGCTAAAAACTGATGGTAAACAAACTGCAATGGCCAAATGCGATTCTGTAGCCGTAGTTTCGGATTCACCACGGCATGTTAGACACCCCCAACTCTGTTATCTCCGCCTGCAGGGCGATATTTTAATTTTTCACCTCACGCAGTTGCTATTGCTCAAAAAACAGGAAATAATTTTCGTTTTCTATAGAAAACACTGCTGGCAGCCGTCGCTGTTGCGTGTCTGATATTTTATTTTTAACGCTCGGCGACTTTATACTACGTTGTATATAGTATCGCTCGCATTTAAGTTTGCCTTTTTACGTCTCGCATAATTTTGGAGCTTTTCTGCTTGCAACCTTGCCTTTAAGTTTACAAAGTTCGTTAACATTAGCGTTTTTTTACTGTCTGTCATTTAATTTGTTATTAATTTTGCTGTTTCGGATTATTTTATCAACGCGACAAGGTTAATGCAGAACCAATTTCGTAGGCTCGTGCGACCTTTGATAGCTTAAATATATTTTGAGAAACTCTAGAAACTGGTAGTCGAACCGTAAATGATAATTTATATTATTTATACATATAAACACGATCACGTTGGAGCCTATGACCTCTAATTAAGCGAATTCTTAGCCCCACTCGGGCTTTTCATTTTGCTTTTGCATTTGCTTTGCGAGTGATCGCAAAAATAACATTTGGACCTAGCGGAAAACTTGTGGAAACATTGGCACCCTGTAAATTATTTTAAGACCTTTTTGATTTCTTTGTTTCTTTAATACTTTTAAAAGCCAATTGTATAAAACCTGGCTAATGATTAGTAAATAAGAATAAGGTGTGGTACAACTAATAAGCTATTTTCAGTGCTCCAAAAGTGCTTAACTCTCGTACCTACGCTTTTCAACACTTAAGTCATAAAAGCTGACATAAGATTTACTCCTTTAACAAAATAAGTACAAACACAAATTAAACAAGCAAAATCTTTATTAAATTGGACAAAGTGCACTTCAAAACGGATATTCTCTAGGTAAGGGTGAAAAACAAATTGTAGGCCTGTTAACCTGCGGGAGAAATCCACCACGGCTCGTAAGCAGCATTTCACAATATGGCTCTGTTAATGAAAAGACTACATTTGTGGAAGACAAAGCAATTGCCATACGGTGGCGATTTCAACATTAATACTTTTGTCCCCCATTGTGTGAACGCATAGAAATTGATATTAACAACAATTTTTTAAAAAGTGCGCAGTTTGCATTGATGACGCAGCAGCAGCGCAGCCAGATCCCTCTCTTCTGCTGTTAACTTTGAGCTCTGTTGCTCTCTTCGGCTGGCGAACAATATGGCGTCGTCGAAATTGTGTCGTCGCCCAATTTAAAGTCGTACGAAAACCATAAAGATTATTAAAAGCGCATTTGAAGGCTTTCCAAGTACCGAGTAAGCATAATTAGGTTTGGTTTTCTGGCAGGCATTGATTTTCTCTCTATCGCTGCATTGGTCTTTTGTCTGTTCTCTCTTTTTTTACCCGTTCCCCATCTTATTGTGTGTGCACTTTGCACTGTTTTTTGTGAGCGGAGCACTGTTACTTAACAGTAGTGGCGTTTTCGTTGGAAATACGCATTTCAACCATCATTGCTCAGTTCACATTTAATTTATTTCCTACTTGGCTTCTCTCCGTTGACTGGCGATTTCTTTTTAGCCTGTCATCCTCTTCCCCACCCACCTCTTTCTCAACACACCAGCACACGGTGCTCTCTCTCCGTTAACAGAGCTCGATTCGCTAGAGATGTACGCATGACTTGTGGTTTGGTCGTGTCACGAGATAGTTACGTATATTTTAAGAATTTGTCTTGTGTGCTTCTTTAATATTATTGATTCTAACTTTTTTCAATATTAAAATATAATTCCGAACGATATTTTCCATTGCAATTGAAAAACCGTTTACCAACAAGATTTGAGGTGGCTTATAAGATTTCAAAATTTTATGTCAAAACCAAAATAAAAAAATGACAAAAAGAAAGAAATCCTCATTGACGATGGTAAACATTATGAAATATCCATTTTGTGTACTTCCTTTCTTCCTATGCTTTATCGGTTTTTGCATCAACATATTCACGCACCCGCCCCTAGATTCTCGCCAACAGAGCTCTGTTAGCCCACCACTCGCTGGCCGCAAGCGCTCCGTCGTCCGCTCATTTCAGTTCGAGTGCTTGGAGACTTCACTTCGCGTTTGGAGGATCAGATCCACGTTGGTTTTTGGCTTCAATTACCCACAACTGTCATCGTCAGCTCAGCGACTTGCTAACTAAATAATAAAATACCCCCGCGCTCCCCTCCCTCTCTCTCGGTCGTGTTTGTGCGCCCCGCGAGTAATACGAAAGAAAACGCACAAGGAAAACTGCCAGCGTTCTCCTCGCAGCTGAGAAAAACCGCAGGACGCAGCTCAGCAGCGTCGTCGTGTGCGTTGTGCCAAGAAAATTAAGAAAAAGAAAAAATCTTGAAATATCGAATAAAAACCGTAAAGCCACAGTTAACGAAGGAAAACGAGGAAAAGCAACTGCGTCGTGCACCATTTTGTGATATATTATTTGTCCTCCTTCCTTCTTCAACGATCCCTGTGCAATTCTCTGTAAAGAAAAATTAAAATAATTACTAGCAACCAATTGAATTTCTGCGAGACCAATACAAAAAAAATATTTCTAACAACTGTGATCCGAACAAAGCTCTGAGTTTTTGTTTCAAGCCTGTGTAATTTCTCCACCCAAATCGAATTGAAAAAGTAAGTGAATTCGAACAAGAAAAAAGAAAATTATAAATTATTTCATTTTCCTCTTCGCTCGCCTACGTTGCTTACTCACCATTAGTCGATTCCCCACGGTTTCTCTCTTCACCACAGACACAAATACACACAGGCATGCTACGTCACATGTGCGTATGTGTGTGTGTCTGCGACTAGCGTTGCCATGTCGCGCGAAGTACGAAAAAAGAGAACAAATAAATAGCAGTTAAAAAAAAATTAAACAATTGAATAAATAAATAATAGAATTCTGTAATTTTTTTAGAACACATTACGTACATAAACATCACAACAAATCCGTTTTTTGTCTTTATTAATCTTTTCCATTCAGTGCAGCTGTCTTGAGTTCTTTGCCAACAAAATATTACGACTTGCCAAAAACCAAAAACTCAACCGCAACCAAATTTAGACTTTGAAGCGAAGGACGCCTTTGCTGATAAGTGAAAAACAAATGACTGATAGCTCAAGTACACACACGCACAGCAAAGATGCATATACACATACATTCGTTATGTACACCCTTCTGCTATCTCCCAATTTAAATAACATTTTCCGCATTATCGCCACTGACTGAAGAAATGTCTTTATCTGCACACACTCAACTTTTCTTTAATTTTTTTTTGCCTGCAGTGCGTGACTGGAATTTTTGCTCGCTCACTGTTCGTATGACTCATAGACCCGTATATAGCCAATGGCGAATTTGAATTATCTACGGATTAGGGATTACTGATTCTTATCAGCAGTTGCATAGGGGTTTTGGGTGCGATGGCAACCCTGGGCGCAGGGTGGTCGCCCAGCTGACTTTGTCATTGGCTTTTTGTTTGTTTTCCATTTTTCTTGGTGACTCATATACTATTTTTCTTTGCAAACTCCAGCTCACCTTGTAACAATTATAAAGAGCACATATTTGCTCGTGTGTTTGCTGTATTTTTTTTTTTTGCATGTTTTCCTTTGCATCCCACACGTGTCGGTGTTTTTCTGGGTTGGGGCTTTACATAAAGACTGCTCTCGATTTTTTTTTATCTCCTCACGGCACGTTTTTTGCCGTACGATTGTGATTGTCCACAATCAAGCGCTTTTAGTGCCTGAATTAAGCCAAATGACGACTTTCTTGAAATTTCTGCGGACTATTTCGCCATTTCAGTCGAATTTGGCGGAGATAAGAGTAAGATAGGAAACGAATCGAGCGCTAATTATTTGTGATTGGCTCGGTAAACAAATATGTTTTCGAGTTGATCACAAAACCAAATAGTAGATGATATACAGTAGGAAACATTTAAGCTGTTCTGCGTTCAAGGTGAATGTCTGTGGAATTGGCACACGCAAAAAATTAAATTTTTGAACAGTATGGAGTGAGAAATATAAGGTAGCAGAGTTCGAACTGTTAAATAATACATTTTCATTTACCAAAGTTCAATGATTTAGGAATTGATTCTTGCTTATCACTCTGGTGATTCACGAATCAATTGCTTAGAATTTAAAAGTGAGTAAGTGAAAATGTTTGTCACGAATGTTTGAGAAAGTTCCCGATCCCGAATGAGTAATCCTGTTGTTGCCAATAGTCGGTTAGAATTCTTGGCAAGTCGCACAACAACAACACGTGTCGTTGTCGCTAAAGTCTAAAATTATAAAAATTAAATTTCTAGCGAAAATACACAAAGGAAGGCAGGCAGGCGTTCAAACAAGTTTTGGTCGTTCAAAAAACAAGAAAAATTGTTTTGATGACGGGGGAATCAAATTGAGTTAATATACATAAAAACAAACAAATGGCCCACACGCACATATTTATCTTATATACGTTCAGCCCCCTTCCGCAAATCGTTCCGCCTGTTGTTTCTCACATCGTTTTATTTTGCCTCTACTTGTTGTTGTGCCCAAATGCTTTTATATAAACAAGTATAACTGATAAGCGAACGAGACGTTGGACGCGTGAATGGCCGCGGCCTCATTTTCAGTTGGTTTTTGTTTATAGGTCGCGTGTAAATGGATGCCGTACTCCCGTACACCCCTTAAAAAACTGATGCCAAACCCACCCACTACCACCACCATATGGCAAAACGATCGGCGAGACGATCGAAAATTCGGATCGCGTCGTACTTTTCGGGCTTGTTCATTATCTTTTTGTTGCCGTTTTCAAAATGTTTTGTGCGGAGTGCTATTTTTAGTACTCTAATCCCCTATACTTGATCTTCTTTTAGTCGGCTGTCGTTGTTTTCTCTCTAGTGTTCCTCTCGTTTTAAGTTATGCAATTTTTTTTCTCCCTTTATTCAGAAATACATCTGTGTTCGGAATACTATAATATATTTTATTAAGTCAACACTTAAAACGTAACAACTAGTTGTGAATGTATAGTAAAAATATGAATGATTTTCATAATCATTTAACGTAGCTGTGCGTGTTTTGGGGATAGACTGTACTAATTCGATTCAGGTCAAGAAAAAACCCATTTAAATTGGGCATTAAATATGCACATACATTTTTTGTGACCACAATTAATGCGATAAAATGCGGGCATAGATTTCAAAGAAAAATTAATTTGGGACTGCATAAATTGCCATTCTTCATCAATCAATTTCTAGCTGTGTACTTTGTTTTCAGAACTTTCTTTATCTAATGTCTAGGAGATCTGGTACACATGAATAAGTTTGTATATATTTTGTTTATCGTTTTAAAAACAAAACGGAAATAGCTCACAAACAAATAGAACCACAATATATTGTATTGAGGTCAAAAATAAATTACATGTATTTAATTTGATTTTTGCCCTCCATGGTTGTGACTGCATGTCCTTGTCAACTAAATAAAGCCCTGATTGTTACCAACTGTTCGACTTTAATGCAATTTTAATTTCCTGGCTTGAGTATAGTTATGAGGAAACCACAAAAACGAATAAACAAGAAAAAATATAATACGTAAAATTGAGCCACAAAGAGAAGAGATAAAAGCCAACAACAACTGGCTCACCTTGTGGTCGAGAGCTACAAATTTTCCTTCCATCATCGATTTTCCCATTGCAATGCCGTCTAACCTTTCTTTTTCCTCCCCAGTATTGTTATCTATTACTCGCTAGTTTGTTTTTCCTTTATTTTCAATTTTCTCCAATTTGCTGTACAGGTTTTTTTTGTGTGGGAATCGATTTAGGCGCTCGATTGGCTTTGGTCCCACCGCCCACAAATTAAAGTTGTTTGAACGAAAAAAAAAGAAAGAAAAGCTCCTCGTCGTCGTCAGAAAATTTAAATCGGCACTGCTGCCTGGCTGTTGTTGTTGGATTTTCCTTTATTTTCCTTGGGTTTTTCCTTTATTTTCCCAGTTGCCTGTGGCGCGCATATTCACCACATCTGGCAACCATGGCGACCGTTAAACTCACTCCCCCACAAAACCGTTAGCCAGACAAAATGAAAAGCGAAACTTTTGGCCCAGCCTTTTCTTTTGTGCGCTTCCTTGCTGCTGATGGCTGCCTCGCCCTGTTCGCTGGACTTCTTTGTCCCGAGTCTTGGTCTTGGTCTCCAGTTCATTGGCTTTTCTACCAGAAGAAAATGAGAAGAATGGAAGCGAATTTGTAATGCATAAATCAATAAAATCAAGAATGCACCCGCTGCTCCGCGCCACCGCCCAAAACGAAGTCATCATTATCATCTTGGCTCTGACTCAGCCGCAGCCTTCATCTCGTCTCAACTTATTGCGAACAATACTCTCGGTTCCTCTGACAAAGTTCAAGCGCCAACGGCAAAGTTCAATAGCACAAAATGGCAGTTGCAAAAGTATATTTCTCTTATTACAGACGTACCTCCCTAAATTGAAACAATGGAAATACTAGAGGGTTTTCATATTGGCTTACGATGTTTATGAGTCAACCCGGATCATTAGTTTCCGTTCCTGCCACCTTCAAATAATAATATAATGGAAGAAAATAAACAATAAACACTTTAATTTGATTTTAATGAATGAAAAATGGTTCAGTTAAACGAAGCTTGACTGTATTTTCATCTAGCTTAAATGTTCATCTCCATTCCATGACTCAAGGCTTCCGCATCTGTCATTTTTTTTTATTTGTTTTCGCATTTTCCGTCAGTCTGTCTGTCAGTCATTGAAATGACCACAATCTTGAGTCGAGAGTTGATGCTCAAAGCTCCCAGTAAGCCTCTGCGAAGAAATAAAAAGTCTTTGAACGGCCTTCGGTTTTCTACACATAAAGCCAAATCTCTCGGTTAGAGAGATCGAGAGAGAGAGACTTCTTCTTTGTCTCGAAAATATATATCTTACCTTTTTGTTTTGTTTGTTTTGCTCCTTTGTGCACTTACTTTTTGTGAATTCTATAAAACTGGTTTCTTTTCGGCGGTGTGTGCGGATTGTTAAATCGCGGCCATAACACCGGAGCTACGAACTCTCCATTCCATTCCACCGGGGCTCCAAGTGCTGTCTGCTTCAGTGATTTGATTAGCCCATAAAGCCGCGACGTTGAGGTACAGTGAACAACGCTCTGGGAGTTTGGGTTTTGTTTACTAATTTAACCATTTGTTTCGTCATATATTCTCACTGCTTGCACAACATTCACGGTATTTTACCCCTGAGTTTTCGCCCGCATTTCCCATTTTCCGCACTGTAACAAAAACTATTTGTTTTTGGACCGCTCATGTGCGACAATGAGGTTGACATTTATGCAAACTGGGTCCAAAAGACTGTTTGTGTTTTAGAAAACGAATAAAATAACATATTATTGTAAAATATAAAAATATCTAGATTGCTATCAATTTGAAATCCCTTAACCCCAACCCAGACAATCCCACGTTGTTCTCCTTGTGTTATTGCTGCAATATCAATTTGCCAATTAGTTCCGCTTCACACGTTGGCTAATATTCAGTACTTTGCTGGCTTTCTTGTTCTACACCTCCTCCTCCTCTTTCTCCTCCTTTTTCTCCATCCTTTTCTCGGTTTCTTCTGGATCCCCTGCAGCGTTGACGTTGCCCCATATGATGATCTCC